TTTTGTTATTAGTGATTTGCTCATAAGTCCCTTCCCACACCAATCAGCTAAGTAGCCTATTGTCCCTCAGTGAATGGAGCAATGAAAAGTCAGGGAAGGAGAGTTTGGCTGCAGACAGCACCGATACTGGACAGTGAACATGTTTTTGTGGAAAAACTATCTGGCTCCTTTGAAGAGCATGAGTTAGGAAAAAAAATCATTTCCTGAGTTTAAATTGCTTAGACTTCCCATAGGGTCATAAAATAACAGAAGTGAAACTGAGCACAGTACAACGAGAGAACATGTATGTGTTGTAAATTCTGAGCTTGGTCATCTTTGCAAGAAGGATGAAGTTTTTTTCTGGGACTATACGAGGGCAGAGATTTTCATTGCTATAGGTTTACATATTTGTGAAGAAATTAAACAGCAAACCAGTGATAAGGCAATTGCTTGGAGACATCAAAATTTCACGTGCTGAGGGCTTCTCTCCTAAGCAATCCCAAATTTCTTGAGCAAAATTGAGAACTAAGAAGGATGTCAAAGAGGATTCTGAGAACCCTAGAATGGTGTCAGAATGCTCTTGTCCACTAAAATTATCACCAGGGATTAAAACAGAATTTCTTTTTTTTGTACCAGAGTTTGAACTTGGGATGCTTAACCACTAAAGTCACATCCCAGCCCTATTTTGTATTTTATTTAGAGACAGGGTCTCACGAGTTCTCATGAGTTGCTTAGCACTTCACTTTTGCTGAGGATGGCTTTGACCTTGTGATCCTCCTGCCTCAGCCTACTGAGCCGCTGGGATAACAGGTGTGTGCCACCACGCCCTGCTTAAAATAGAATTTTGAAGAAGCCTATCCAGAGTTGACTTCAGCCTTTTCCAAGTCCTATAACCCCTGGTTTTTGTTGTTGTTTAGGAAATGAAATAGCTATGGAAAATGTTGACAAGGACAGTTGGAGAAGAGAGAAGTGACCCTGATGCTCTGAGAACAGGGAGGGAAGAGAAACAATAAAACACAGATAGATGGGAAAATTGTCAAAACGCAGCAGGCTAAGGAAAGAAGAGTGAAGATAAAGCTGAATATGTGCTTYAAACTATGTAAGTCAGTATTTTCAGCCTGCAAAATAATTGATGTGCATGTAATGATGTCCCTGAGTTATTAGAAGAGGTTAGGAAAACTGAGTTATTAGGTAAAATATTCATGTGTAAGAAGGAAGAATTTAGAAAAAAAGATTCAGAAAGATTTCCATTGGAAATGGCTCAAGTAAAAACTAAAGTTTTGATGCTTAAAGAGAGTCTGTTAATTAGTGGCAGTGCCACAATGTGAAATGTGGTGGTGGTGGGGTTAGCACCTAGGAACTTCCAGGGTGTGACGTTCACTTTGATATGGAATCTCAYTAAATTGGGCTTAAGATATGTCACATGGGGTTTAATGAGGATTGGATTATTTAAYTGATAAAAAAATAAAAGAATGCATGGACTTGAGTATTTTTATTATATATTTGTCAAATAATTTCTATATGGAAAAATTATATAAAGAAATATTTTAGGGCAGGATGTAAAGTTGTCAGTAGTATTCGCTGTCCCCATAAGCCTGGCTTCACATCGATGCCTCTCATATAGGAGTGACTGAAATGGGAACCCCATGCAATTCTTTTGCTTCAAAATAGGAGATTAGTTTATGCTTCCTAATCAATATTGTATACTTTTCTAAATTTCATTGTGCTTTCTTTACTTGTGACTTTTTGACTTTTCTGGGCTCTGAGAATTACTTCTGACCCTGGGTAACTCAGCAAATTAATGGGACTTTTATTGAGTGTCATAAAAGTAGCTGAGCTACTGACTTAAAGATGATGAAAATTGCTTTTCCTTGAATAAGCTCTTGATTTTATTTTGACTTTAAAGATTTTCTTMTGGAAATGTTAGAATACCTTGATGAATTTGCTAACTGTAGGTTTTGGTGTAGAACTATCAATTAATGAAGCAAGAGTTTACTGATATCTTCAGAGACTATTAGCCCCAAGGTTTGTCAGACTATGGAGACTTCCACCTTTCTATCTTCAAATTCATTTCATTTAAGCAGGATCTCCTGCCTCCATTGGCTAATGGCAGAAATTCAGAATCATTAGCTAAATTAATTGTTTCATGTGCTTGGTCTTTAGAATGTTATAAACTATAATGGAATTACTGAGTTGAGAGCAATTAATTGGATGTTCTTCAAATATATCCTAACCAAATGCTGTACCTGGCACTCTTTATGACCACTTAAAAACTACCAAAAGGAAATTGTTGATGAATCCTAGTGCCATCAAAATAAACCATCTAGAATAGTTTTAATATCCCCAGATCTGTGTATTTGTGTCACCCCTCCATCTGAAAAGTCATTCCAGATACTGCCTCTTAAGTGTAAATTTAGTGCTCTATATTTTTAAAAGGAAAAAATGAGAATTTGAAATACTTTCCCTCTCTGGTCTTCTTGTAAAGCCCATAMATCATGGAGGGAAGAACAGTATGCTCACATGTTCCTCATGTCTAGAACTCRTGTTTGAGGTGGGAGTTGAAAATTGAGGCCCTACACCAGGCCATTGAGGCATGCGGAGTGTTGGCGGCAAGAAGTCTCAGGTAAGAGAGAGAAGATAGAAAAATGGGAAGAACTTGGAAAGCAAATCGCATTCTTCCACATTAGCCCTGCTGGTTGTGGTCATAATGGGAATGTGGTCCTGGTAAAGCCAAATCCTGGGATTTTCAAACAAAGTCAGATGTGTGACATTTTTTTTTTTTTTTTACAAACTAATCACATTTAAATTTTGGTAACAGAATTCAAGTTTTAAACTCTGTGGGTCAAACAAAACCTGTTTTTGTGGGCTGTCAGGAAACCACCTCTGGATTAGATTCTAACACTCCCTATTCATATACACACAATATATATAAAATAAAGGATGTTGAAATACTGCCCTTATGATCAATCAAAGAAAATGTTTTTTTAAATAAAGGAAACTAGGGTAATTCATTGATCACAGATAATCAACAGATAATTCATTAGGCTATAGTAACGTATTCATTATCATGACTATTTAAATATACTCAAGTCCATGCATTCTTTTATTTTTTTATCAGTTAAATAATCCAATCCTCATTAAACCCCATGTGACATATCTTAAGCCCAATTTAGTGAGATTCCATATCAAAGTGAACGTCACACCCTGGAAGTTCCTAGGTGCTAACCCCACCACCACCACATTTCACATTGTGGCACCGCCACTAACTAACAGACTCTCTTTAAGCATCAAAACTTTAGTTTTTACTTGAGCCATTGGGTATATTTGCTTCCTGTCTATTTGGTTTATAAGCAGGTGAGTTCAGGAAACAAAGATTTCCTGATATGGTTGTCAATTGTTGGTACTGAAATATTTAAAAGTGTGCAAAATAGAAAGGCCCAGAGTTGTATTTAAAGGGTGATTCTATAAAAACTGAGGGTAGAATAAAAGACTTTTCAAGTCCCTTCAGGGCATCACGTTTAGTTCATTATGCCAAAAAAGTGTAGTGGTAGATRCTAGAAAAAAGAGACAGTTTGAATATGTTATTATTTTAGACTGTTGCCCTCAAACTGAAATATACAGATGCTATGAAAAAACTTGCAGTTTCCTGAGGGATGAGAAGAGAAATTCAGAGAATCACGGAGCACACAATGTGTCATTAGCTACTCCAGACAGTACACAGCATCTATGAGTGGATAAAGCAAAAGGAAAGGAATAAACATCCATTTCTATTTCTTACATTGTTGCTCTGGGACCCAGAGGAACAGTGTCACCTTTTGGCATTTGGGTCACCTCCTATGCTAAGAAAAATGACAATGTATGTCCCAAAGGCATTTTGTGCATAATTTTTTGACACCTATAAAGCATTTGCAAATTTTTAAACACAACGGTACCACAAAAGTATGGAATGTTATTCTCCCTCTTCATGATATACAGAAATGAAGAATTATGACGGGCAGCCACCAGTCAGTTACCTACTGGAATGTTTTTGTTTGCTTTTCATCTTTGTTCATTCTGGAACCCATCATGTTTATTTCCAAGCAAWGTTCTTTCTATCCACTTTAGCTTTGCATTTCATTTAAATGAAAAAGCAGGCCTGGGCTGATTCATTATTTAAATTGCAGTCTCTAAGCTCCCCTTTGGAGACGGAAGAATCCATATGTGTAAGGCTGCAGTTAGGCAAAAAGAAGAATAAGTTACATGATAAAATCCAGGGCCCAGCTCTCAAGTGTGAATTATATAAAGTTCATTGTCCTTGTCTGTGTCCCTTACAAGTAGTCCTTGGGTAGCTTTAAGTGAGATGTTAACCTTATACTTGAAACATAGTCTTACCTTCATTCTTTAGGAAAAAAAAATGACAAATGCAGAATTTGAAGATAAACTTCATAGATTAGAAATATACTTATCTCTCTTATAGCTTGATGTACAATATGGAAAATAATACTTTTTCTATGTACTCATTATATATAAAACACAAACAATACATAAATAAAAATAAACATAAAAATCAGTCTATACCTTCTAGAAGAAATCACTCTTTTTTTATGATCTACTTTTCTATAATTTACTACTTGACTTTCAGGAAATTAGATAGGTTCATGTTGTTTAATCTATCATTTAACTTCTTGAGAACTATTCTCAAAATTTTTTTAACAATTCAGTTAGATTGAATTACAAAAATATTTAGCATACATATATATATGTGTGATTTTCTCTATATATGTATTTTACATATGTGTTTTTTTGTTTTAATCATGAAGGGTGATGTATAAATCAGAGGTCCTAATGTACAAAACAGAGAAGAAAGAAAAGATCACTTGCCAACTCTTGGCTGTCTTTTGCACACTGAGCCCATTACAGGATACATCACCTCCATGGATATTAGCATGTTGGCTGAGTCTCATTGGGAAGGAAATGAACTTATAAAAACAAGCCTGCCTTGCAAGTTCTCTCCCCCAAACCAGCTCCTATGGATACTGTACCTTCCGGAGGGGTTTGAGCTTGGTCTCCATTATGAAGTCATATTTGCAGAGTTCGCAGCAGCGCGTGTCTGAGCTCTTGATCCACTGGTGGAGGCAGGACTGGTGGACAAAGCGCAGGGTCCCCGTGCAGCGACAGGGTGTGATGAGGGGGCTCTCTTCGTCCCCTTCGCAGTGACAGATCCTGGGGAGGGACACAGCRGACAGTATGAAATCTCACAGAGAACATTCTCACCAGTGGATTTCTACCCTTGCTTACACCAGGCTATATTAGAACTTATAACCTAAAATTTAGAGTACACTGACATTTAATTACAACCTGGATGCTAGAGCTGMGTCTTTGATCAATATGAATTTGTTTGCACTTGTATGGTCATTGCCAGACTTAAGTCATGTTATAAGGCATTAGATATTGGCAATGCAGAAACAGACTATCATCTGATTTCTACACTGAAGCCAGTTTTTTWAAAAAAATAATAATTCTTTGATACTGGGGATTGAACCTACAGGCCCTTAACCACTGATCCACATCCCCAGTCTTTTCTATATTTTGTTTAGAGACAGGTTCTCACTAAGATGCTTAGAGCCTCAATAAATTGCTGAGGCTGGCTTTGAACTCTCAATCCTCCTGAGCCGCTGGGATTATAGGCCTGYGCCACCATGCCTGGCCTGAAGCCAGTTTTAAGAGCATACAAGCTCTGTATCCAGCTTCATTTCTTTTAATAAGTCACTTTCTTTGGGTTTTCATATCTAAAAGTTATGACATGTAAATATTCTAAGGAATGTTAGAATCAGGGTGATATTGGCCTCATAGAATATGTTTGGAAGTGTTCCCTCTTTTTCTATTTCATGAAATAGTTTGAGGAGTATTGGTGTTAGTTCTTCTTTAAAGGRCTTGTAGAACTCAGCTGTGTATCCATCTGGTCCTGGGTTTTTCTTGGTTGCTAGGTTTCTGATGGTGTGGAACATTAGAATTTCATTGTGTTGTTTTGATGGCGGTTTTATAGGGCTATAGTGTATAATGTAGTAATATAGTGTGGGAAATTTCTGAAAAATTTTAATGTATAATCAAAGAATAAAGTTACTACTGAAGTTTCAGACTAAAAATATTATAAATATTTTCCTAGGAAGAAGCATACCTATTGGGTCATAATTAACTGTCCAAACTGTCAATAGTCATCATTGTACAAAAACCCCATAAAAATGACCAATTACATAAAATTCAAGTTCATGAAATTCTATTGTTTGAAAATGTTAATCACTACTTTGGCCAGTGAACTTTGAGTTCAAATAGTTTCTGAATTACTCTAAAGTCTAGTTTTAAAGATTTAGAGTTTCAACAGATTTACATAGAGAAGTTTGCAATCCATGTCCCTCCTCCCCTGGGATGAGTTAAAAAGTAGCAATGTTGGATGTAGTGTCTCATATAAAAATCAATGTGGTAGGGGAAAATTAAAATGAAATCTCCATTACTCTCATATTCATGCTTTTTAAAAATAATTTATTTTCTTCTTTGAATGAGTTAAGCCTTTCATAACTCTAGGTAGTGAATTAAAACCTCAGCCTTTCAGCAACTCTCACGATTTAACCAGCTGTTAGAAGTTGGTAATAAATTTAATTAGAAACATTGCTTTATATCTGTTAGAGATATGAATGTTGAATGTAGCATTTAAAAAAATAAAAATCTGCGTAATTCCTTTTTWWAAAAAAAAAAAAAAAGCTGAGTCACAGTGGTGGGATGGAAAAATGTATCCATTGCTGCTACTGCTCTTTCCTTATGGGTGTTTACACCCTTTTCTCCAGAAGCATATGTTTTAAAGAGTGGGGTTAAAATCTACTCTGAAAATACACTATCTCCCCAGAGAAAATGAAATACCTGCTCAGATTGCCAGTGCAGTAAGATACAGGAATTGAAACCTAATGCTCCCCGACCTCAAAATAAAGAAGTAGGACAGAGGACACCAGTATTTTGTCTTAATTTCTTAAGTAAAAATAAAGTCAGCACAAGGAAACCCTGACTTCTACAGTTTTGGGGTGAGCATGATGGGATGAGGACAGAGGGAAGGTCAGGCCAATGTCCCCTTTCTCCCTCCCAGACAGAACTGAGAGCAGCAATGCTGGATAAAACACCTCAAGGTCAAATGGCTGATGTGGTGGTGCATGCCTGTAATCTCAATGGCTCCAGAGGCTGAGGCAGGAGGATCCTAAGTGCAAAGCCAGCCTCAGCAAAAGTGAGGCACTAAGCAACTCAGTGAGACCCTGTCTCTAAATAAAATACAAAATAGGGCTGGGGATGTGGCTCAGTGGTCAAGTGTCCCTGAGTTCAATCCCTGGAACCCACTCTTGCCCCCCAAAATGATCTGAATGCCTATTCCTTAAAAAACCTGAAATAGCTCCTTCTTCCAAACCTAGGCTTCAGGAACTGGGCCCTCTGTGCCTTATATCACGGTTAATGCCACCACAGTGTCACAGCCTAGGTGCCCAGTAGTTGGCTGACAAGGCAGCTATGAAGGAAATAAGAGCTTCTACAGCACTTAATCTGATTGTAATATTTACTATTTGAGTCACTGAAATCTAATTAATTGTGAAGAATAAGAGATATTATTTCATAGGTCCTTGAACCCATTTTTTCTCCCCATTTTTTACTGGTGCTTTATATTGTACAYATGATGGAATTTGTTGTTATATGTTCATACATGCACACAGTTTAACAATATAACTTGGCCAGTGCCACTCCTCAGCACTTCACCAGTCCCTCATCTACTTCCACGCCCCCTTCTTTTATTCTATTTATCTCTCTTTGATTTTCATGAAATCCCCTCCCACACCTTCTTTTCCTTTTTCCTTTCTAGCTTCTACATATGGGAGAAAACGTGATCCTTGACCTTCTGACTTTTTTCATCTTGAAACTCCTTATTTCTCTTACTACTTCAATCAGACCTTGGCCCAATTCTGTCCAATGAATGTGATTATAAATAAAGTTTTATTGAAACACAGCCTCGCCTATTGGTCTATATATTGTTTAGAGTTATATTTGCAGTATAACAGCAGAGCTAAGTAGTTTCTGCAGAGATCATCTAGTTGCAAAGATTAAAATATTTGCTATCTGGCCCTTTTCAGAAAATGTCTGCAGACTCCTTCTTTAAGGTATACATGGCGATTCTGAGTGAGAGACAATATGTGTATGTTGCTGACAACAATGAAAAAAAATTTACAAAATAAATCACCCCAACCTCTGAAGGCAACCAAAAACTGAAATAAAGATTATATAGGGAAATAATAAAATGTTCACACTATAAATGAAAGCTATCTTGACCTGACTTTAAAGTCTACTGCTTCCATGGGCAAAATTACTCATTTGAAAAAGAGAAATTTGCCTTTAAGGTCATCTGATAATTCATCACTAAAATAAAATAAAAAGATTGTATCAAATGCTCAACTGCTCAACATCTGTCGAAAAAATTCTGAGGTTCTGACTTTTTACTGACATGAATAAAGTAATTTATTCATAAGCAGTTTTAAACAAAGACCTAGCTGATTTACTAAGTTCAAACTGACCTGATCAGCTTACTGATTATAATACAACTTCCTATGTCTTATAATGATCTTTTAAAAAAATTCTGCTAAGACTCTTACCTGAAGCACCACCAGCAGTATTATTTTCTCATAAAATTAAAATTATTTCCCATAGGAAAAATTAAAAGTTTGCTTCATTTTCATTTCCATTTCACATACTTTATTTTAGCACATTTTTAGCATTTTGAACTTTTTCTAAATTATCCAACTCAAGTGAGACCCAAGAGTCTTTTCTAAGCTATATTTAGATTGTTTCAAATGAATTAAAGAGCTAAATATCAACTTCAAGTATCTTTTAAAAATAAAAAATAATATGATAAGACCATTAAAGAAAGAATTAAACAATTCTTAAATCGGTATACTCGACAGAAATCACAATTGCTGAATTATAAATGAAAACACAGTAATGAAAACATAAACATGTTTTTCCCAACAGAATAATTGTATAAAGAAAATGTTGTTAATGCTATAATAAAATTACATTGTAAAATATTCATAATTTTGATGCATTTTTACTTGATGGGAAATTGAGGCTTGGAAATTCATTAATTCTATAAACTCATTGGTGATCCATGTTGGTGCCTGATACCCAGTGGGAGAAAGAAGCTGAATTCATAGATTTTATTGGCATATTAGTATATTGACTGTCTACTTACAATCTAATCAGCATATGTTGAGATTTTCATATTTAAGACTTCAATGCACTGGTACTTCCACATAATTTTTAGCTTTCCATGAACAGAACACCACAAAATGTTATGTAACACATTAAATGTTAGTTTTTTTGTTTGTTTGTTTTTGTTTTATTTTTGGTATGGTCAAAGTGTGTAATTGCCTTAATGTTTGAGTTTAAGAAAAGTAATTTCTTTTGTTTTGGTGTTATTTATGTTAAAATGGTCTTTATTTTTCACCATTCACTCCCTTCTAAAAGCTCTTGGACCTGATAGAATAATATATTTTTGCTGTAAAAGTTTTAAAAATAATCCATTACTTGAAAAATTGTCTTTATGAGGCCCATCATGGTTAAAAAAACTTGGAAATTTAAAAATTATTTCATTCATTTGACTGATCATATTTTTTGAGTTCTTTTTAAAAAATATRTTCTAGTTGTAGATGGACACAATACCCTTATTTTATTTATTTATTTATATGTGGTACTGAGGATCGAACCCAGTGCCTCACACATACTAAGCTACCACACTACCATTGCGCCACAGTGCCACAACCTCAGTCCTTCTTAGGGACCTTGTTTGTGATACTATTGCAATTATCTGAGAAATAAGAATCTGGACCAACATGGTGACCTTGAGGAAGGTCAACAAGTGACTCTGGAAAGTGTAGAGACATGGAGGGCTCACTTGTCTTCCATGATTAGCTGCAGTAGCAAAGCACTTCTAGAACATACTTGACTTCCAAATGCTATCATCCTTGTCATCTTCAAGCAGCATCGTGACCACAGGCTTCCCAACTGATGGATTCTCAGAGCCATGCTAGATTTACCCCTTCTTTTTTTGGCCTTTCTTCCTAAGGCTATCCCCTCACTTCCCTATCTACATTTTTCTCCATAACCATCTCCAACTAAATAATCTTTAACAGTAATTGTGGGTA